AGAAATAAAAAAATGCTTGTGTGTTACTCTTGACTGTACACTGAGAGAAAATGATTTTAAAACTAATCTGAATGCAGTACTTTTAATGTCGACTAGGTGGCGGGTCAAAACCACAAGTGGCTAGACACGACTATGATAGTGGTTTAAAAAATATATATGTTTTAGCGGGCAGAATCTTGTTAAATTTTTGATGTCAATTGCAGGCTGAAGGGAGGAGGAGGGTGGGCTGTAAATGGCCTGCGGGCCGGTAGTTTGAGGCCCCTGGTTTAGGGTAAATGTTTTCACATTCTGATTCCATTGCCTAATTTTTCACTTGTTAAAATGACTATAATTAAGTGAAATATTCTTAGGAATAATATGTATTCTTTGGAAGAGTGTACTTGCATTGTGATGCTATTATATTGTCATTCTGGCATTATGTAATGAGATATGATATAAAATAAAATGAATATAATATTGATTATCACAATATATTTTGGTACAATATATCGTACAACAAAAACAAATATATCCTGAATGGCTTATTGTCGATTGACATTGCTGTATATTATTGCCTATGCAGTTCTGTGCTTCCCCAGATGTGCACTTGAGCTGCAGCTCACACATAGAAGCCCCCTGGAATACAGAATATAGAACATTTTGATTCATGGCTTTGAGAGTTGATATCAAATGTACCAATTTCTCAAAAAATATGAACTGAAAACTGTATTTTTTGCCTAGCTGTAGCTATAAAACTGGTTTTGCTTCCACTCAATAATCTACATAAGTCAGGATTTCTCAACCCCATTTCTGGAGGACCACCAGCTCTGCACATTTCCCATGTCTCCTTAACCAAACAAGCCTGATTCAGATCATCAGCTCATTAGCAGACCTGTAATGGGTGTGACAGACAAAGGAGACATCCAAAACATGCAGTGTTGACAGCCCTCCAGGAATGTGGTTGAGAAACACTGACATAAATGATCTGTAGGGTACTTTGAGACAAAACTTCACAAGTGTATTCTGGGCACACCCGAGATTTAAATATCATCTTGAAAAAAATATATATATTTTTGACCTATTTTGTTGTGTTTTGCATAGAAAGAAGAAAACGGCAAAGAATAGAAGATGGGGAGAACAGACGAAGAGTATGTTTATATACCGTAATTGTAAACAGTGTAAATATATTTATGTTACATATATTTATCAGTGTTCAATTTTTTTTTTTTACATTTAACAGGAATGGAGAGAGCGTTATGCTCAGCGAGATGAGAATGCTGCCCGAAATCGGACTTCCATGTCTGAAATGAAGGAAACCAACTATGGGGAAACTCTAAATGCAAACACAAACCGACGTATGTTTAATGCCCAATAACACTTGTGTCCTGTTGTATTCTTGCAGGATGCTGACTAGTTCACCCAAAAATGCTAAATCTTCATCATTTTTATCTTTTTCATACCACAAATAGAAATTTTATTTTATGTCTGGCTTGCACTCATTCATTCTTCAAAAAAACGAAGATAAGAGAGTGATGCTAGATGGGCTATTTACAGTGAGTTTGGAATAATCCGATTGGCTAACTAATGATTACAAATGAGAGACCAGCCGCGATCAATCATATCAAGTACTCCTCTTGAAAATTTAAGGGTGCTGAAACACTAACTATCACTTTTGGTGGACATCTGGGTTTGTTTAATGTCTGAGTTTGATTTGTCTGGCTGGAGTCCGGTTCATGCTAATTTAGGTACAGTTAATTTCAGACGTGAACACAATCAAAAAAAATGACAGAAGTGAACTGCTATTAGTTAGGTATGAACTGTGCATTTATGCACACTGAAAAAAATGATGTCTACAAAATTGTTGCAAATAATTTATATATGTTGAGTTTAAACAAATTAAAGTTAGTAATGTTCGATTTATTTGTTTGTTTAAATTCAGCCCAAATAAATTGTTTACAACCACTTAACTTAAATAAATGTAGAAAATCCAAGGACTCATCTTTGTTACATTTTTTTCACTGCATTTAAATGACTTGCTTTTCTGACAAGCGTAACTGACGTGCTGCAAGCAGAAAGAATGTTTTATTGTTTGATCTGGTTTTTGCTCAACTTCAGCAGAAAACAACTCTCTTCTCATTTATTTGTACTTTTACGTGACAGTCATGATAAATAGACGCATGTGTTGCTCAGTGTTAGCACCGTGAAAATGAAACTACATTTTTAAAGTCCAAAGTTCAAACTAGAGACACGCAAGATGTGGTATACAGCAGTTTTGCAGCTTCTCCTGTGCCACACTTACCTAACAACAAATGTGAAAGCACCCTAAGTGATTTTTTTTTTCCCCACAGAGGCAAAGTACACACGAAGTGGCAGCCAATCAGGACGAGACAGCATTGAGTTGTTACAAGATGCCGAGCCACTGGATTTTAATGCTGAAACACTCACTGATGACCCATTGCAGTCCGACACTGGCAGGTCAGATTGAGTACATTAAAGCTCTGCAATCATCACGTATTTATTTTCTAAGGTCAACCCATAAGTTTGTATCACATTTAATTCCTCTATAAAATCCCAACAGGATTTTTTAAAGATTAAATAAAAAATTCAAAGGTTTGCAGTTTCTGCCTCAAAAATGCTGTTTTTGTGTAAACGAAGAGTCAAATGCGATAAGGATTTTCCATTTTTAGTTGAAAGTGGAAGTTAAAAATGCAAAGCTATTTCCAGGTATTACTCTTCAAAAAAAAAAGTGATCCCTGCAGCACTCTAGTCATAAGGTTTATTTGTGTACACGCATTTGATTTGTGCTCTTTTTATTTCTTTTCCCACAGACATGCTGGTGGAAGGTACCTCTCGATGTCATCTTCTCGAAACCGAATCTTTGATGACGTTTGATGTTTTCGAAGTGAAAAACACTGTCTCTACAAGAAATCGAGTTGAATTTTACCTCTAAAACACTCATGTCTACAGGTGTGGTTTGTCCCTGTCATTTTAAACCTCTTTGACTTCCTGTATCCTGTATTGCAGTGTTAGCTATCTGCATGCATCCTGATAAACACACAGCAAAAGTACACACAGATTTGAAGTGCCGGACAGTCAGACTGCTGCATGTGACAAATGAGCATTCTCTTTTGCACAGTTGTGTTTTTCTTCTTCTTCATTTTAAGAAATGAGTCAAACAGTCAGTCATGAAATGTACTACAGTCATCAGACACACTACTGTTTCTCATCATTTGCTGCTGATAGTGATCAGGTAGTGTACCTGAGCGTGTACAGCAGTCGAGTGAATATAAAATGATGTGAAAGTGGCCAATCTGTGTTAGTTATAGATGTGAGGAGATTTTGTAGGGGTAGATCAGAATACTGTGCTTTTTTTTGTACATGTGAATATTTTTTAGGCAAAAATCCAAATTAGTCTGCAGAGTTGCAAAAAAATACTATTATTATTATATTCATTTGGCTTCGGCTGATCTAACAGACATATATGAATTCATGTCTATTTATTGTCTATGTAAGCTGGTTAGTGGCTACTGAATGAATCTTGAAGTATTTTATTTTATATTATTTATTTCTGCTCTTTTATTAAATTTTACATCTTATCTCCTAGATTAGCTAAGCTGAGTTCCTCTTAACATTCCATCCATGAACCTGTTCCTGAATTATTTAATATAAAAGAAGAAACGCTTAAACTAACCTATTTATTTTCACAACTGTTTAAGTGGCACATAAAGCTATATTATTTATTGACACATCTGTGATTGTTTCTCTATAGACTTTCTTCTTATTTATAATCACGTTACGTTTGGCACCGTATTTTAGCGGTAGTCGGGGGGATGAATGTCTTGTAGGCCATTTGTGCTTTGAACTGTCTTTTTTGAAAAATAGGCAAGGCTGTTGAAACAGCTTTATGGACATGCTCTGTTTGTGGGCTCAGAGTGCATTGTTTTAAATAAGATTTTACAGACTTGCAAGCATCACTTTATCATGCACAGAAAACAGACGTTTAGTATTCAAATGTGTGGAAGATTTCATTCCAAGCATATAACAAGAGTGCATGGGAAGACTTGTAGGATTTTGTTTTATGAAATTCTTGTGCATAGGTGTCATCTAACATATCCAGTGTACATTTTGCATGGTATTCTACTGAATCTGCAGAGGAGTCTAGTTCTTGTTTCTCACAGGAAATGCAGCAGTAGCTGTATATATAGTGTTGTTCACACCACAAATACTAAGCATCATGGTTTCATCTCAGATAAATGCGTTTCCTTAATAAATGAAACCGTCTGGTTTAAAGAAACCAGAAAGCCATTTTTTCATTCATACCTTTGGTTTACTGATGAAGTTATTTATTTCTACAATGTGTTTATGAAAAATGAAATAACTGTGTTGCCAATGAGGTAATTTTTATATGGTCAGTCCTTACTCAAATATTGTGTTGATGAAAGCCAACTGGAATCTGATGCTGAAATCTGTTGATTTGTATATTGGTGTCAGTAAAATGTGCTCTTTTCCTAATAGGCTAGACACATGTAATCTTGCAGTTATTAATAAAAATATTCATTCATTCACAATTGTCTCTGTGTTTGTTTTTAACCCTTACAAGTTAAAAATAGTTTTTACCATTTGTATAACCACAACTAAAGGCCTACTATAAACATAATAGTTAAACTATGGTTAATGTAGCGACTGTGGTTAATCTGTGGTTGACGTGATTACTTTTTTGAATTCGTAGTAAAACCATGGGTAATTTTCGCAAGGGGGTAACGTTATCCATGTTATGTTTTCATTATTTCTCAGGAACAAAATATGTTGTGTTTGTCTCCAAATGTTGATGATTTACTTACCAATTTGAAGTAGTCACGTCTGACATATCTCATTTAAAATACAGTTCTTACTGTAGCACTCAAACAGCAGCAGGTTTGATGACCTAATCATGCACCTGAAGCGAGGCTAACCAATCAAACCCAGCAGCGCGTCTCTATGGAAACAGTGGACGCTAAAACAGGGAAAAAACAGCCTTACGGAAATACAAGGTTTCGGGAAATTAATCTTCGCTTTCTTTCACTTCTCTATGTGAGTATGTTGTTAAGAGAGTATTAAGCATAGATAACGTCTTCATATGGTTCGCGATGTGTTTTTTGTTTGATTGAATCTGATTAAATGTTTACAGACGTATTTCCATACAGCGGTCAGTTGTCAGGCTATGCTTACTAATAGCACAAACTGGGTATTATTTTAATAAATATATTATTATGTTTTATTGAATAACTCATATATATAGACTACAAGGAATAGGCTATTTGTACTTTTAAAATCCATGCCAAAAGAAAGAAAAATCTGAGTGACGAACAACGAAAAACATGGTGAACATCAAACGTGTGGAATAATTGTTGTATAACGTTAACGTAAATTATGTAATGTTAAAATTAAATGTCGCTTATTTAATTGCATAAGTCTACTTTTTCTTCAGAAATCCTATTAAGCTCAGTATATTATTAAAGGTTTTTACTGTTTTACAAACAGACATACAGACAGACAGATAGATAGATAGATTGATAGACAGATATATAGTGAAAACAGCCACATCTTTATCGTTTTGCAATATTACAATCTTATAAACTATTTAATAAAACAAATACCAAATAAAATACATTCCTTCAGAAATCTTTTTGTACTCAGGATATTATTAAAGCTTCTTACAGTTTTACAAACAGACAGACAGGTAGACAGACAGGTAGACAGACAGATAGATAGATAGATAGATAGATAGATAGATAGATAGATAGATAGATAGATAGATAGATAGATAGATAGATAGATAGATAGATAGATGGATAGTGAAAACAGCCATATGTTTATCATTTTGCAATATTACAGTTTTATAAACCATTTAATAAAACAATTACCAAATAAACACATTTCCTTCAGAAATCGTATTGTACTCATAATATTATTAAAGCTTCTCACTGTTTTACAAATACACAGACAGACAGACAGACATGCAGGTAGATAGATAGATAGATAGATAGATAGATAGATAGATAGATAGATAGATAGATAGATAGATAGATAGACAGACAGACAGACAGACAGACAGACAGACAGACAGACAGACACACAGACAGACAGCCAGACAGACAGACAGATATATATTGAAAACAGCCATATGTTTATCCTTTTGCAATATTATAATCTTATAAACGATTTAATAAAACAATAACCACAAAAACATGATTAAAAAAAAAAACTTTAAAACTTGGAGGTTGTACATAGATTGTACATGCTTTTGTTGAACTCTAACATTGCAATATCTTGATCTTATTTTTAAAACAATAACGTCAAATAAAAGAACTTGTACAGAAAATCTGTATGAAAGTCACTGACAAGCATACCAAACTACACTCAAGTGAAGCAATACATTGTTTCTAATTGATACAACCAAGAACATGAAAGCAGTAGCTTTATATTTCTCGATCATTTAAAAATGGTATTGTCATTTAAAGAGCTTCATGTGATTGTAGTTCTTTCCCTCATAAAATAGAGTTTGTCATGACTCTCTTCTTAGCGTTTTGACCAGTAGACAGCAGATGTGTATATACATTTGAATAAAACCCATGCATATGTTATCTTGTCAGCTTTAGATCAGATAGGTGGAGGATGGCAGGTACATCGCGACATAATCGAGAGATGATGATCAATGCCAAAAAGCAGCTGGCTGAGTGTTCAGACCCCATTGAGCGTCTGCGGCTGCAGTGTTTGTCCCGAGGATGTGCGGGCATCAAGGGACTGGGCAGGTACAGTATTCATAAGATACGATTCCTCCCATGAACAGAAGTGCAGGTGTTTGACTTCAACATGATGTTCTCAGGACTTTCCGGATCATGGATGATGACAACAATCGCACGCTGGATTTAAAAGAGTTCATAAAAGGTCTAAATGACTATGGTGTGCTCATGGAGAAAGAAGAGGCTATCAATCTTTTTCAGCAGTTTGACAGAGACGGCAGTGGACAAATTGACTTCGATGAGTTTCTTATTACTCTGAGGGTAAATGCATGAAATGGAGAGATTTGTAGTTGACAAGTTAAATCCTGGTTGTGCTTATTTTATTTGTATTCATCTATTGCAGCCACCCATGTCTAATGCCAGAAAGGAGGTGGTGTTACAGGCATTTAAAAAGCTGGATAAAACCGGAGACGGTGTGATTACTGTTGAGGATCTGAAAGGAGTGTATGATGTCAGAAAACACCCCAAATATCTAAATGGTGAGTGGACCGAAGACCAAATATTCCGCAAGTTCCTGGACAGTTTTGATTCTCCGGATGACAAGGATGGAAAGGTATGATGCTGAAAACATTGTAGTCTTATGTAACATATACAATAAAGAGTAAAATAATGTGCTGATTTAAAGCTATATTATTTAATAATATCATATTTATTTGGTTTAACCATCCATACACATCCTCCAATGGTTCCATTGTTGATCATTTGTTAAGTGTTTTCTTTGATCATGCTATATGTCTTCATGCATCAGGTCACAAAAGAGGAGTTTATGAACTACTACTCCGGCGTCAGCGCATCCATTGACACAGATATCTACTTTATATTAATGATGAGGAATGCATGGAGGCTTAATTAAGCTTAACTATTTTAGGGTAAAAAACTAAGAAGTCTTATCTTCATATAAAGCATGTCAATCAAACATTCACTTCAGTCTAAAGTGTATATGATAGTTCAAAACTATCCCTATAAATGAAATATCATATACACTTACCAGCCACTTTATTAGTTCCACTTAGCTAGTACAGTGTTAGACTCTCAAACCTGACCAAAATACCAATATAACAACAGTTTATGAAGTACTGTCTGCCTCACCTTTTAAAGGAACACTCATTTTACAACTCCCCTAAAGTTAAACTTTGTAATGTAATGTGTATGGCCATACACCCAAAGTGCTTCACAATCATGAGAGGGTCTCTCTCTACACCACCACCACTGTGCAGCATCCACTTGGTTGATGTGACTGCAGCCACAGGACAACAGCATTAACCACACACCAGCTATGGAGGAGAGACAGTGATCATTTGGTGGATGGGGATGATTAGGAGGCCATGACGGTAAGGGCTAATGGAGGGAATTTGGCCAGGACAGAGGTTACACCCCTACTCTTTACAAGAAGTGCAAAGGATTTTTAATGACCACAGAGAGTCAGGACCTCGGATTAACATCTAATCCAAAAGATGGCGTTCACTGACAGTATAGTGTCCCCTTCACTTTACTTTACTGGGACATAAGGACTCACACAGACCACAGGTTGAACGCCCCCTGCTGGCCTCACTAACACCACTTCCAACAGCAACCTACTTTTCCCATGTGGTCTCCCATCCAGCAGGTACTGACCAGGCTCAGCCCTGCTTAGCTTCAGTGAGTTTCCCGTCTTGGGCTAGGGTGCTCATGTCTGATTACTTTATTTATTTTGAATTGTAAAGGCAAAATTCTCCTACGAGAGTGATTATAGCGCATCCTGATGGTAAATGTGGTTATACTCATGGCAGGTATTATTTGGTATTTTGGACATTTATTTCACTAATTTGACAACCAACAAACACCATCTGGGAAACGGTTTGAATTTCTGCTTAGTTAAAAAATGTTAGTGTTGAATTTGGAACGACACTACATATACTATAATGCTGAGTTTGATAGTTCATAATTACGTAACACATGTTCATAGTGTATAGTGTGCTGTTTGGTACGCAGCTACGGATTAAACCATTAGCATCTTGCTAAAAAATCCAATGAGAGTTTTAATAATTTCCTTATTTAAAGCTTGATGTTACATTGTGCACTAAGACCAACGAAAAATGAAAAGTTGCTATTTTCTAGGCCAAAATCATGGCTAGGAAGTATACTCTAAGCGAGATGCTAAGTGATCTAATCCCATTCAGTGATTTATGCTAAGCTTAGCTAAAAGACAGACCTGGAAATCGGCTGAATGGGTTAAAAATGGTTCAAACTAAACTGTTTATCTCCAGGGGAGTTGTAAAATGAGCATATTTCCAAAAAGGTGGAGTAAAATGTTTTGAAGTTTAGCAGATCATGTTAGCCAAGTCTCATACCCAAAGTCATTTCTGCCATATGACTGGCTGATTAGATACTTGTGTATCAACAGGCAGATAGGTGTACCTAACAAAGTGGGTGGAAAATGGGTATTGAAGTATTGAAGAGGTTGAGTCTAAAATAAGGTGGCAAGTTGACTTTTTTAGGTGTTTAACAGCTACTAATTCTTGTGGTTTTGGGAATCTACACAATCAAAAAAAATAACCACATACTAATCATACACAGTGTTTCTCACTGCAGACAAGCAGCTGCACCAATGCATGTATTGTTTTATTCTAGAATCAGCCACACCATCTAACAAACCCAGGTGGTGTGGTAATGTTTCTAGACTTTGAGTCTTGTGATTGTGTGCATCCTCTTTATTTGGCTAATGAAAGTTGCACCTGCTCAGATCCCAAGGTGAGAAACACTTAGAAACACAAATTCTGTCTTTTATTAAATTACTCTGAAACTTCTTTTCTCTTTTCTGGGTTGCGATCATCCTTTTGGCTTTTGGTTTGGGTCTCTGCAAGAGCTGCCATTTGTTTTATAACAATATTTCTTTATCTTTCTACAGGTGACAAAGGATGAATTCTGGAATTATTACAGTGGAGTCAGTGCTTCTATTGACAATGATGTGTATTTTATTTTAATGATGAAGACTGCATGGAGATTATGAGGCAATCGAATCAAAAATCAAAGCTGCGATATTCCTGACAACTGATATTTGGTGCAAATCAAAAATCAAAGCTGCAATATTCCTAAAAGTGAAATGATAAATAGTACTAGCTTTGTAGTAGTTTGAATTATGTTTATAGCCTTGTTAGTGGTTACATAATTTGTTTAGGGTGTTTAAAGGTGCTGTTAAATCTTGTTGTTTTACAAAAGAATGACTAATTTAATAAATGTTTTATAATGGTTATAAAAAGTAGTCCATTCAGATGATTAATATGAAATGTGAGAATGTCATTTACATTTTGTCCCCTGCGAACTATGAACAGCTTAAATACAGAGTTGAGTATTCATAAATGAGTAACAATTGAGTATCTCATAATAAAAAGTGTACATTCCTTTATTAATATATATTGCTATAAAGGCTACCGCTAATTGCATTAAAAAATTTAAATACATGCGGGTAACTTTTTATAAGTAAAAAATAAGTCTTCAGATCATTATAATATAATCCTCTGACCAGAGAAAAAAGTGCCACTTGAATTATATGTATTACGTCTGGAAGTTAGGTTAACAAAACTCTTAGCTTTACTCAAGATATATACAGTGGTGTGAAAAAGTGTTTGCCCCTAATGACTTTTTATGTTTGACATTCTTTAAGATTTCCTATTATTCAGAAATTTAAATATTAGTTAAAGATAACACAAGTAAATACATCATGCAGTTTTAAAATGAAGGTTTTTATGAATAAGAAAACATGTTTGTGGACAATACTCTGGACTAATAAGACAAAAGTTGAACTTTTGCAAGGTGTGTGTTCCATTATGTGTGCCATAAAAGTATCGCTGCATTTCAGAAAAAAACTCATCAGCAGTAAAATGTGGAGGTGGTAGTGTGATGATCTGGAGCTGTTCAGTGCCTGGAAGACTGGCTGTGATAAATGGAACCATGAATTCTGCTGTGTACCAAAATCTCTTGTAGAAGAATGTCCAGCCATCTGTTAGTGACCTAGAGCTGAAGCAAACTTGGGTTCTGCAGTAGGACAATGATCCAAGGCACACCAGAAAGTCCACTTCTGAATGGCAGAACAAAACTAAATGAAGACTTTGGAGTGGCCTAGCCAATGTCCTGACCTGAACCCAATTGAAATGCTGTGTTTTCTTCCACATCGCTGCAACAAAGTCATCTGAAGTTATCAAAAATACTTGATTGCAGTTGTTTCTGCTAACGGTGGCCCAACCAGTTATTACAGCGATGTGTAGTTTTGCAATTTGTTTTCCTTTAATAATACAAACCTTCAATTAAAAACTGACTGATGTGTTTACTTGTGTCATCGATACAAGTAAACATTTATATTAGTTTGATGATCTGAAACATTAAAGTGTGACAAACATGCAATGAAATCAGTATGTATATATACATATATAGATGAAAACATACATGGATTAATGTCTATAGCAGAGGATACTGAGGCTAGCAGCAGTTACATGAGGTCTGAGTATGTGTGGTGAGTTCAGCAATGTGAACTGATCAATAATTCACCCTTAATGCTGTTTCTGAAACATTCAGAAGGAAATCAGCTACTAAAATGGAAACCACAGGTGTGCGTGATGCTTGGTTGAAAATGAAACCTGTGGATAACTGCTATGATACAAACATACTTAACAACTGAATATGTCTGACATGTGAAAGCATCTCATTTTATGCAACAGGCTTCCTGGTTTATGAAATGCTTCATATATATTCTTAGTTAACCTTTATCATGTGAATACAATGAGTTCTTCAACCGAGAGTCTGTAAAATCACAAAAACACGTCCAGTTCATTGTGTTTTGAAGAGGCTGGACATTGTGACATAGGCTTCTTCTTTACATTCGAGTTGAGGAGACTTCAGACCCTGAGAGACACTATTTTCCATTTCTTTTTCCAAATCTGATTCATCTAACAATCTTATTTTTAAATGGGACTGCTCTCTCGGAAGCCGTTCATCTGCGTTCATGTCCATTTCACTCACTGACGCACTTGAGGAACTGTAGCGAAGCTCATCCTGAAGCTCAGGGGCAGATGGCTTTTCATCAACATAATCCACGCGGTGTATAAAGGCGTCGCTGAATATCTCAGGACTGAAAGTGAAAGGAAGGCCCTGAAAATGCAAAAAATCTCAATGAGAACGTGGAGCACATCTTGATTTAATCATGCTGAACATCAAGAGAAGCAACAATACGAAAACAAACTGCTATTACCTCCTTTGCTCTTTGCATTTGAGCGAGAGTTGCTTTTGGGTGTGGGATGTTTGGTGTAATGTATTTCTTTATCCTGGGTAAGAACAATTTGTATATTTTTTAAAAATGTTATTACATTTTTGTTTAAATGTAAAAAAAAAAAAAAAACACTCACTGTGTTCTCCATCGCAGGGCAATCAAACTAATGATGAGAACCAGAATGATGGTAAGGATGCCGGTGACAACTTGTGGTGTTTGGATGGGGGCGTGATTTTTTGCTTTGGTAAGTAAATGCAGAACATACATCATCATTTCAATTCATCAGGCATGATTAATAACACTTTTCATACAGTCCTAAAGCTTTTTGATTCATCACCTCCCTAATAATTGACGCAGAGAGGCCCAGTCATGTTTCTGAGTCTGACTGATGTTTTTTGTTTTTTAAATAAGGGTTTTTCACTCTTGAAAACCAAGTTAAACCTGGGTTATTTGCAGACATACTCCTGTTTTTTTTTTTTTTTTTTACTTCCTAAATCCTGTGCATTTCCATTATTTGCTTTGTTCATGCCATGTTTACCGTAATTAAAAGCCTCTTAAATCAATCATGTCCTCGTGAAACTTGTAATTACAACTTGTACATTGAATTTTGTGAGAGCTCTGACTTGTACAGGGTTTCTGCAGGTTTCTTCAACTTTAATTTATGACTTATTAAGACCCTATAAAGGCCATTACGAGTGAAATTTTAGACGTATACAGGGCTAAACACTAAGGATTTTTTCTAATGACCCGGTTATTTCTGTAAAAATAAATTGTATTAATGGAAGATCATGTAAAGCATGGGTCTCAAACTTAATTCCTGGAGGGCCGCAGCTCTGCACAGTTTTGCTCCAATCATAATCAAACACTGCTGATCCAACTAATCAAGGTGTTCAAGACTACTAGAGCCTATTAACAAAATCCCTTTAGAGCAAGTCATTTCACTTGGCGGCCATAAACAACTCTCAGGCAGTATGCTCGGGCACTCTGTCTGAATGGGAAAACATCAGATGGGGAAACATCTGAATGGGAAAACATCTCCAAAACTGCTTGCCAAGCTTACGATTGATTTTCATATTAGGAATCACCAATAAAATTAAACAACAACTGTCCATTTAGTTTAATTTCTAAATGTACACATCACACAAAATCTGCAGAAACTCACGTCTGGTCCGAACCTCTCCCCTAGAGTATCGTCAGTTTATAGCGATCAGTTGTCTCCTGTGGTTTTTTTCACCATGTAGCAAACGATGATTGGCTCCTCTACTAGTACGCGGGGCTTTATTCACCATATTGACATTACACTTTTCCCCATTTAAAAAGATCCGAGTGACATGTCTTGTGTATTCTATAGTCTTTGCTATTAAGTATGTGTAATGTTGAGGTAGTTGGAGCTAAAATCTGCAGAGGTGTGGCCCTCCAGGAACTTTGAGTTTGAGACCATTGATGTAAAGCGATGTGTTGCTTTAATTTTTTTTCCCTGATTAAGGAATTTAATAAAAAAAAAATTGCTGTAAAAATGTCTAACGGCTGTTGCAAATTGTATCTGTTTGCAATAAAAAACTTAAAAAAAAAAAAAAAAGTTGAGATGAATTATAGGTAGGCCCACACAGAAATCCACAGATTTCCGCAGAATTTTAGCCCATCGTGGAGTCTATTTATTTACTTGTGTAAATGTGTGTAAACTTAAATTTAGTCAGTTTTTAAATTAATTTGAATAATATTATTAACAAATATAAAAATGTTCATATAATTTATTTACAGTACAGTTTGTAAAGTAGTACTTTCTGTCTTTTGGTAGATATATTACAGTTTTTCTCAGTGGCTTTGGTGCATTTCTCTCAACACTATTTACATTTGCACAACAGTTAATGCATTTCTCAAAACAATTAGTCATTTGTGCACATCCTAGTAGCAGTTTCTCATTCCTTCCAACAAATTGCAAATGCTTTTGGACATGCATCAATTGCTTTCATACAACTCTCTGCTATTTATAACATTTTCATTCAAAATGAACTAAACTTGTGAATGCTGAATAGTCATTCCACATAAAACTAATAGTCCTCATTTCATCACTTGAGTCATTACAGACAAAAGTGTTGAACTAGTTGTCAAAATCTGTCAAGCAAATTTTATTTAAAAAAAAATGTAAATCTCTATTTTACTGAAAATGTCTTTTAAATTGAACAATTTCATGAATGATTTACAGACCTGTGTGTGTTATAGGTTCAGTTCCGATATGTACTGCATTTTTGTTTACAATTTTGCACAGCTCTACCCAAAGGAAGTTTATGTTTGTTGTAAATAAGGGTGTATTTATTCTTTTGCGCAATGCTGTGAATAAATTAGAATTGTCAAGAGCAAATGCAGTAAAAATGTGAAACAAACGTATTCAGTGTCTTGTACTCAGAAACCTCACTAAATGCAGTGATGTCAAACTTTACTGTAGTTTTCAAATGAGTGTGCAAATAGTATCTAGTGCTGTCTTGAGCATTTTCAGGAAGTGTCACCAAAATCTGACTTTTTTTGCATTGAAAAAATGTAGAGTAAACTGTCAAAATGAAAACATGACAAAGTCATTTGACTATCTTGATCATAAAGAATGGTCATGTTGATTGACATGAATACTTGCTTTTGAGGAATAAACTATCCATTATGAGCATGTGATGCGCTTTGGCAGGTTATTAGCTAGGTTTTGCAGTTTGTACTAATTGTTTTGAGAAATGCTTTAACTGTTGTGCAGAAATGCACTAGTGTTGTGAGAAATGCACCAAAGCGATTAAGAAAAACTGTAAGTAAGAGACTTGAATTCTAATTGGATTTGCATTGTAAACATTAAATAAAAATGTAAAAAAAGGATTATTTTTTGTTTAATTAATTTAATTTTTAGTTATGATACTCCCAAAATCATTCTGCATAAATCTGCAAAATGACAAAATTTTGCGAAGGAATAGCTAAAAATGTCTGCAGATTCTGTCAGTTCCTAATTATAGGTTACAAATTGAGTAACTTTACTTGGACATAGGAAAATTAAGACCTTTTTTAAACGATTTAAAACTTACAACACAGTTTTTCAGTGAATTTAAGACTTTTTTAAGGCCTAAAAGTTTGTTTTTAAAATTTAAGTCATTTTAACACATTTTAAGACCCTGCAGACACCTTGTTATATGATGTGACTGCTTCTGATTTATTTTAGGCATTGGTAGTTTTGACAGCCTGCTGGACACATCTGAGTAAAAAGTCACTTACTGTCATCTTAAAATGTCTTTAATTATTACAGGAATGCAACAGAACAATAATCAAATGGTACAATGGTCATAACTTTAATAAATAAATAGTTTACAAGTTGTTACTAGTTCCACAAGGACATAAACGTTTTATTTTTGAGATCATGGTAATTCAGATATGGCTTAAGTGCACTAAATGCTGACTTTATCCAAAATGGACTTTTCAGAATATAAAAATAAGTAATAAATTAGTCTCCAGTTGATGCATTTTGACATTTCTAGTCATAACCAGTCAAAGCATGTGAATATGAAGCTCCCCGAGCTGGTTGTCAATTGCTAGCTGTAGCATTGTAACACTGCAATGTTAATAATAATAATGTAAAACTAGTGCTACTTCTTCTCTGCAGCAGGGTTTCAACAATTTGGGTAGAGATATTAATCCAGTTTCTAAATGACAGTTGAACTGTAACTTTACTAAGAGTTAAAAGTGGGATTTGAAACAACGATTAACCAGGGTTTAAAGCCTTATAAACACCACTCATAACTCATAACCCCACTAACTTATTCAATATTCATGTATTCTCTCATTTAACCAACATTTGACCTCCAAACTATGATCTCCACTCACTTTTTATAGTGAAATTGGCATCTGAACTCCACTCACTCCAGTCACCGGCAAAATAGTTTATAGGTTTTGCTCTGACACGTGTACTGTAAACACCATCTCCACCAAGTCTGTCTCTGCTCATACTGATGTTCTTATAGTCAACAAGTAAACTGATGGGCTGCAAAACAGAAACAGGATGTTTAGTTGTTAAAAAGAAATGATTTTGTCTCAATTTTAAAGAAACGTCAAGGGGTCAAACTATTGTGAGAAACACCTCATGTTCACCACGGATCTCCACTTGGAACTGACATTGACGAACATAATCATGACGGTGTTCAAACCATATGAAAATTTCATCCGTTTCTTTCAAAAAAGTGGCACTTTTTAATTCAGGAGCTGGAATTTTGACTGCAAAGACAAAAAAATAGGTAGATGGATTGATGGATGGATGGATGGATGGATGGATGGATGGATGGATGGATGGATGGATGGATGGATGGATGGATGGATGGATGGATGGATGGATAGATAGATAGATAGATAGATAGATAGATAGATAGATAGATAGATAGATAGATAGATAGATAGACAGACAGACAGACAGACAGACAGACAGACAGACAGACAGACAGACAGACAGACAGACAGACAGACAGACAGACAGACAGACAGACAGACAGACAGACAGACAGACAGACAGATAGATAGATAGATAGATAGATAGATAGATAGATAGATAGATAGATAGATAGATACTTGCCCATTTTTGTCAGGTCAATTTCCTTTTCAATAATGCCGTCTCTTAAGTGTACTTGCAGCTCATATTTCACTATATTTTCTAAATTCTCAAAAGAAAAATATTTTGGTCCCAGAGTTGCGTTTGTACACTTACTCTTCTCTTTCATTTTGCTAAATAGAACAAAGTTCAGTATTAGAGCAAACACTGATTCACATAAATTCACATTCACAAAAGTTATGAACTATTCAATTACCAACAGATTCCTTGACTATTTATAAATATGTGTTAAGAAGTACCAGAGTGTTGCGAATATGACCTCCTCAATGGGTTCATCGTTAGGAAAACAGTAAAGGATATTCTGCATGAGAGTCAAAGTGGATGTGCAGGTCACTTCTTTGTCAGGCAAATCTAAAATGAATCAATAAAAGAAAAATTACTAACCCTTAAGTCTTCAAACCATTATGTTGTGTGTCAGCTTAAAGGGATAGTTGGTGAAAAATGAAAAAAAAAAAAAACATATTTACATATCCACATTTTTTCTTCTGTGGATTTCAGTGGCTACAGGTTTCCAACATTCTTCAAAATATCTAGATGAAAAAAACTTACTGGTTTAAAATCCCATGAGAGTGCTTATGGCCATGGGTCATTTACCCCTTTAATCATTTCAAATGGACTCCCCCACCCCACACACACCAAACGCATACATCTGTTTATCGTCATAATCATGTATCACTACAGAAAAAAACTACATTTATTTCACAAGGTAGTGGTTTGACTGTATAGATAGACTGATCAAATGTATCATTTAAAAAGTAACATAATTAGTCTCTACCTTCTGAGATTATTATATAAAGAGTTAAATCTGAATTTACCACCATCTCCACTTTCAGACAGGCCCAAAGGACAGAAAACAACAAAGATAATCCACAAAAGTCCCGCCATCTCTCATCCAGCAGCAGAAGAGATAGAGATCACTTAAGAGAGACGTCTTCATTACTCACACACACACACATTTACTGACAACTGACAGCTCACAACACTTACTGTGGTACTTTCGAGAGAGAGAGAGAGAGAGAGAGAGAGTGAGAGAGAGAGTTCGTGTGAAACCCAACTGTGCCTCATGCTGCTTTTGTGACGTCCAAACAAAGTCGCCCCCTGGTGGTAGATGCAGTTTAGGTTAAAAATTAGCCGTGAGTCGAACTTTAACAAACAACATACTGCTAGATAATTTATGCAAATCAAAAGTCCGATTAAATGTATCTGAAAGAGGATTTCCAAATGCACTTGCTTTGATTTAGGCTAGTTTGTTACACAAAGTTTCTGTCTACAGGAGTAATATCTTGACAAAAATGTCACAGGAACGATGTTTATAGGAACTTTCTATCAAAGTCATTGAAATATTTTGAGTCCAAAATAAATAATATACATAAAATGATAAATAGGTATATATTAGGTATATATTAATAATCTACTTTTTTGTGTGTTCTATGTAGTTTGAATTTCTGTAATATGAATGCAATTCCATTTTGTCATTAACACATTGATTAGTTCCTTTACATGACATCCATTCACAAATCCTTTCCTGTGGCACAAAATGTCTATTGAATTCAAATAACCTCTATGTAAGTATTAGGTCATCCGAATTATTCGGATGTTACTCAGCACTCTGTAGCCTTTTCGCATTACTATAATGGAAGTATCGTCACCTTAGAATTATAAGGTTCTATCTGACATTTTTGACAAAATTGAGTTGTGGACATATTCTTATGAAATGACAACTTATTTACATTATGGGATTTTTTTTATTTATATAAGTTATTTACATTTTAAGATTTTTTATCTAAAAAACAAACAAATGTTACACACATACTGTTTGCTATATGGAATGCAAAAACTTTGAAGCTCAATATCTCAAAGTCATTCAGAATGCAGATAGAACCTTATAATTCCATGGGCATTTTAAATGTAGTATTGGAAGTAAATGTAGCAGTTTTGCATAAATAATGCGCAATAAAGTCTGAAATTAGCCATTTTGGAAGCTTACACTGTCAAAAATTATATGACTAGTGACAACATTATTTTTTATTTCATTAAAGCGTATTAAAATTTAATTAATTAAAAGTTAATTTGAATTTAATTTTGTAAGCTGTTTTAAGTCAGGCTAACAAAATGTAAGTTCAATGGACTCAAAAGGTTAATTTGATTAAATTTTATTTATTAATTTGTGTTTCTTAACAGTGTTTCTTAACAATTTACAAAAGCTGCTATTGGTGTAACAAGGAAACCTGCACAATGTTTTTTTTTTTATAACATGATGATTCTTATTTGTCAAAAGATCAAGAGGAAACTGATTTCTCATCTCATGATACCTTTAATGCAGAAGAGCAGGTAGCAAAACAGCTATGTGTACAAGATAGAAGAATAAATCTCATGTGAAATGAATATAAACTCAACACAATTTGAGTCATGTCAAATTAGCAATTTTGAAAAAGCCTTAAGTGTATTAGCCAAAATGATACCAAATAAAACACAGTTGTCTAAAATTGATTCCAGGGAGAGGCTTTTACGTTAACAACAATAGGCATATGCTGTAGTTAATTGGTATAGTTATTTTTCTGGCTGCTGTCTGCAAGCATATCTGAACAAACTTGCAACCCATTTTTGAGTTGCCACCCACCAGCTGAGGACCACCGCACTGTACCATACACAACATCTGTTCTACTGTAGCAGCTACATCAAGCTTTAAAAAAAATAGTCAGCACTTTATTTAGGTCAGACCATGGAAGACCAAAGCAGGTTGTGGTTGAGACAAAAATACGTTACGAACATTTCAGAAGAATGAACCTACTGGCTGAAAAAAAAACCCAACTTCCAAGTAAATACACCCAATACTTCCTCAAGCTACAAAATGACACGTAAGGTGTGTGTGTGTGGAGGGGGGGTGGAAGGGGGGGACTAAGTAGAGGATTCAGTTTGATTTAGACTAATGCACAAAAAACCTTCATACCATACCTTTTACTTTGATGTTCTCTAAAAAGCGGTCAAGATGTAATGACAATGATTTGTTTTTTTTCTCACTCAAATCATCTTTAAAAGTATTGACTTCAGACTATTTTCAAAAAGTACAGGTAAATATAAAACAAAAAAGTCCCCTCTCAGCATGAACCTCTAATCTAAAAAACAAAAACAAGTGGTAACCTATTACAACCCACTTCCTGTCGCCTCCGGCAAATGGGTTTATGCAAAAAATGAGGCCAACAGATCTTTGGTCTGAACTGCTACCTGTATTGTAAACAAACTATACAAACTACACTCAAAATGACTTTTGATATGATTTTAATGAGTTGAAACAACACAATTCTTAAGGTTTTTTTTTTGACAAATTAATTGTTTTATGTTCAATTCACTTACATTTTTAAAAAAAATTTAAGTTAACTTAAACGATTTGTGTTGTGACAACATAAAAGAAATTGTTTGGAACTCTGCATTTTTTACAGTGTACATGGCACTGGATACACAAAATGACACAAAGGTTTGATTTTAAAAGTTATTTCAATGAATCCTGCCATAAACGTCTGAGAATTTCATTATGCAAGAGCTAATGAAAATTTCAGTTATGAGTCTTGAGGATACTTAACAATATTAGTGTTGTCTATTTTGGTGTGATTGTGTTGTGGAGAGATTGTGGTTACTCAGCTGTTTATCTGCATATATCCTGTATGCAGAGAGCATTTATTCTTTTTATTGTAATACATTAACACTCAAATGAAAAACGGAAGATTTGATTCAAGTAGTTTTTAAACTTAAAAGGATTTCACAATATGCAAAAATGACAGTTTAAATGAGCAATATCTGATCTTATGACTAAATCTGGTAAAACTCTGCAATCTGGTAAAGTCTCTGTAAAGTAGCAAAGAAAGATCTTTACAACCAATAACAGTCCATAATTTGTTTTTTTGACCCATCGAATAACCACATAAATGGATGTGGTGTGGCAGTAAAATCAGCTTTCTGTCTTGAATCTGTCAGAAAACAGATGTGGTTTAATCAGGTTATCAGGGTAGTCACATCTCCTGCTTCAAACAAGGACAAAGGTCATTTGTTAGCAGTTTATTTTCAGTATTAACACTGCAACCTCTAATCTAAAGGCCAAGGATTTTTGTCAAATTTACCAAGTCCAAATGTCCAGCTCAACATTTATTTTTTTAATGGACAATCATATACTGACATAATGTTGTAACTACAATAGGTAAAAGCACACTGTAAAAATCCTGGTAGCCTTAAATTTTTAAGTTGAATCAAATTAACTTTATGAGTCCTCTGAACTTATATTATGTTAAACTGGCTTAAAACAGCTTGCCTAACTTTATAAAATTAAGTTAGAACAGTTACAATGAAATAAAAACACGCTATTGATTATGTAATTGTTTACAGTGTATAGAAAGTAAAGTTCTAGTGCAAAGGTTTGTCAAATTGTACTATGTAAAATGATTTAAATTTATTTATTTATTGCCACATCAACTTAAGGCTATTTCATGGCTAACTTATGTAAAATGATTAAAAATCAATTTAAAAAAAAATATTTTACATGTACTTAACAATTGGAATAATTAAATATAAATGATTTAAAATAAGTGTACTGGTATTAACGTGTTAGTTAAAATAAATTTTAAACAAAATTAAAGAAAACATATGAAATGTTTAAATGTATATTTAAATTTATTTTGAGCTAATTGCCCAGCGAATATCTGTCACTTTCAATAAATTCAGCCTAATTTTTTAAAAAATAAATCAAACTAAAACTATTTTTGGCATTTGTTGGCCAATTTATATTTTTGGATGAACTATCTTCAATGAAAACTATAGACAATAAACAAAATGCAACAAAATTCTTAAAATGTTAACAAAAATAAATACAATCTTATCTTAAATTAACTTTATGAGTCCACTGAACTTAAAACAACTTGCATAACTTATAAAATTAAGTTAGAACATGATTACCTTAGTTTAATAAGTTACAATGAAATAAAAACATGCTATCATGACTAACTGATCATATCATTTTTTGCAGCTTGTAGAGAGATAAGTTCTAGTGCAAAAGTTTGTGCAATTGTACTGTTTTAAATGATTTATTTATTGCCACATCAGCAATTTAAAGATATTTCATGGTAAGATATCTATGTAAAATTATTAAAAATCTCCTTTCGTCCACTACCGGTCAAAAGTTTGGGGTCACTTTTTTTTTTTTTTTTTAAGAAAATTATTCTGTTCACCAAGGCAGCATTTATTAAATGTAAAAACATTTTTTTTAAATAACTGCTTTCATATTGTATGTAGTTTCAAATGAAATTATTACTTCAGTCTTTTATTACTATTACTAATAATAATATTTACAATAATAATTATTAATATTAGAGTGATTTCTGAAGAGTCTTATGACTCTAAAGACTAGATGGCTTAGACACTAATGAAGCTAAAAATTCATTTAAAAAATAACTGGAATAAATGATTAAATTAAATTGAACTACTTTTGAACAGTTATTTTATGCTCCAATAACATTTAGCAATTTTACAGTTTTTACTGTATTTTTGATGAGATAAATGCAGCCTTGGTGAACAGGAGAAGCTTATTTTTAAACATTTAAAAATTCTACAGAGACCAAACTTTTAATCGGTAGTATATATTTTACATGTACTTAAAAACTAGAATAACAAAATATGAATGATTTAAAATAAGTGTAGTGGTTTTACCTTGTTATTTAAAATAAATATTATCTGAAATGTAAGAAAACATAATGAAATGTAAATTTTAATTTAACTGAAGCTAATTGCCAAGAAGATATTTCTCCTTTTCATGTAGTTCAGCCCAATCTTTAAAAAAAAATCAAACTAAAACTAAATTTACAGGGATACTTCACCCAAAACTGAAAATCATCTCATCATTTACTCACTCGTCATCTTTTTGAGTTTCTTTTTTCCGCTGAAGACGAAAAAAAGTTATTTTGAAGAAAGCTGTGACCATTGACTTCCCTAGTATTTGTTTTT